AGCTGGGGTGGGGGAAGGGCCTGGATTCCACTGGATTAAGGCTTTTGTATGTTACCCTGTTTCATGAGGTCTGCTCTTTTTGTGAGGTCTGTATGCAGTCTGGTTCATCCTTCTTTCTTGTTGCTGTTTTAGGATTAGTTGTATTAATTAAGTATATTTTCATACTATTTGTGGTTTTGGGAGTTCTCTGTCTCACCTCTCACACAGCCATCTTGAATCCCCTGACATGAGAAAGTTTGTGATCTTCCACTTTCTTGTGTTATTTGTGTTTTCTCATTCTGTAGAAGTTATTGTAGGGTGAAAATTTTTTTCCTTTATTTCATTTCCACCTAATTTCTTTAGCTGGTCTAATAATTAAGTAGACATAACACAGATAACAGAAGAAAACAATTTAAATTTCTTACACACAGGAGCCCCATAAAAATATGAGACTTAATGACAGTGAGGCACTTAAAGCTTATATACTATCCTAAGCTAAGGAAAGGTGTAGGAGTCTGGAGCCTCAAAAGGAAGGAAGACAGTTCACCAAAGATGAGAAGAACAAATGTTTGGTAAACAAATATCTTCCCTGCCATTCAAATAAGTCTCTCTCAGGGGAAAAGGTTATCTCTTCACATAGGCATTTTATCATCTCTCATCCTCAGAGGAAGGACAGAACCTGTGACAAATTACAGTCTCCTCAGACGTTAAAAATACATTGGTCAAGAGAAGTTGTAAAACATGGAAGAAAATTAATCCATCCCCCTCTTAGAAAGAAAAGAAGAAACCAATTTTTTTGAGTAACTTTTGAGCTGAGCAGACCATGGAGTCTTAAAAGTACCTGCCAGTTTCATGTCCCTTCTGAGCAGAACCAATTTGCAAGAGTGCGGACTCCTCCACACTGTTCCTGGGAATGGGAGATGAAACTGCCACTTGGACAACAACTGGATATCTTCTTATAAAGTTAATCATGTACTACCCAGCAGTTCTACTCCATGAGTTTACTCAACATAAAAGAAAATATGTACAAAAAAAGAATTATGCAAATCTGTTAATTGCAGCTTTATTTGTAACAACAACCAAAACCTGAAAATAACCAGAGTCGATTCACAAGCAAATTGAGGTAATAAGAAGCAGTAATAAGAAGCAAGCAAATGGACAAACTCAATGGCTACTACTCTGCAATAAAAAGAGAAGAAACCACTACATGGATGGATCTCACAGACATTATGAGTGACAGAAGCTGGAAACAAAATAATGCACACTGTAACATTCCATTTATGAGAAGATTACACACATACAGGACCAATCTATTGTGTTAGAAAGAAATTACAATAGTTATGACCTCTGGTGGTGGGGTAGTGGTACAGAAATGATTAGATGGATACAGAAGAACTTTCTGAGGTGATGGAAATTCTGTATCTTGATTAAGCACGTGGCTGTCTAGGTGTACACGTTTTTCAATACCCATTTAACTGTGCATTTAATATCTGTGCATTTCACTGTATGTAAATTATAATGCAATATAAAGACCTATATGCCTGCAAAAAAAAAAACCAAAAAACCAAAAACCAGAAAAAAACAAAAAAAGTTCTCTCATTTAATTCTCTTTCCAGTATAGGCTTCCTTTCTAAGTTCTTTCAGGCTGTTAAAGCGGAAGTAAAAGGCTTCTCCTGGATCTCAATCGCCTTTAGCTCAAGATAATGTGCATGCCAGAGTGGTGCATTGTGGAGTGGCATATTCTGCTCCCCCTCATTATGTAAAATAAAAAAGTTGAAGTAAAGAAAGTAACAACTTTTTCTTTTAAATAAGTCAGTTAATCTATTTATACAAAGATAAACACCAAGTATTTACTCCTATTCCAGAATAAGATAATATGCTTCTCTTCAATAGGGATACTTAACAAAAAGCAAATAGAAAATTTTAAAGGAGTGAGAGATGTGATTATATTAAATAAAAGATGGTATGGTGTGTTAAGGGTTTAAAGATAGTGCTAGATAGCCTAGGGTTCCCTACAGTGCCTTGTTGACTACTGTAGCATTTACTCTGAGGCCTTTGGCAAACCGATGATGGGTTCTAGTTAGAAATTAAAATGTTCTGGTGTGTGTTTAGAAAGATCTGTGTCATCAACACGTTGAAGGAAATTGACTGAATTACAACTTCAAGCTGACAGTGAGGGTATGACCACTCAGGTCTTCAGGCATAGGTAACAGTGGCTTACAGTTATGAAAGTAGGTAGAGAAGAGAGAGAAGAAGGAAGATGTGATAAATATTTTGTATATGTGTATCTCAATACTTCATTGGAAAAGGGTGCAGATATTGTTATTAGGGTTTCTTGGGGTAAAGGATGACAACATGTTGCTGCATAGACTTAGTTTCTCAGAAAGTACCTGTCATTCTCACTGATTTTATTTTTATTTTTTTCACAGTTCAGTGTTAATGGAATTTATATACCAGAGTTGAAGAAGTAGACGTTTTGTATAGGAGCAATCAAGACCGTGAAAAGTGAGTGTTTTAACTTAAGATTTTTATACCCAATTTTTCAATTTCACATATTTATGTAATACTAAACTCAAAGCCTTGGTTGATGCTTCATAAATTTTAGGGGAAAAAATCATGAATCTTTGGAAATATTGCCTTTGAGGAAAAGTAAAAAAAATAATGTTGCTCTGCTATACAAGAAACTTTTTAATGTGACCTCAATATTTTACAAATATATTTCTGTGAATGCAGTCTTCAGTCTACTTAATTTTATGTTCTAGGAGATTTTTCCATAGAGAGGTCTCATTGTATTTTACATTTTTAAAAGATTTCTTTTAAATGTGATGTTTCAGCTTTTCTTTTACTTCATCGTTGCCTCTTTCCACATATTTTAAAAATATGAACCTAAGGATTCATAATTTGTTCTTGATAGTAACTGAGCAGGCTTCATACTTGTTGAAACTCTGAAATGTTGTAAGATTAACATGAGCTGCTATAATATTTTCTTAGAATATTTTTCTTAGGTAGGAAATTCAATGTTTTGATTTAATTATTTATTTACTCTAAATTTAAAGCTGATTTATAAATAATTTATTGACCCTCAAGGGTTGACCCACTAGTTATCTGTTTCTCGTTAGGTACACTTTAGCCTGGCCAGTTTCTCTATAGCAGTATTTTAAAACTCAGAACAAATACTTACTGTTTTATAAAATATTTCCCAAATCTGTGTACTGAATTATTTTTAATTTTCTCTTTGATTACACAAACTCATTTGTGTCTCTAGTAAAAAAAACTTTTATTCACCATTATTTGCTAATTCAACAAACTGCTTTAGCATCTACGATTTGTCAGGTACTGAAATAGGCACTTAGATGTATAGTGTTGAGTAAATAATGCTCCTGTTTTCAGGCAGCTTACACTCTTCCCTTCATATTACTGAAATCTTTCATTGTTTCAACAAATATTTAATGAGTGACTTCTATATATTAGGCTGTTGTGAATACTTTCAATAATAAATGAAAACATTTAAAGATATTTGCTCTTAAGGAACTTAACCTTCTAATAGGAGGAGATAGTAAATAAAAAAGTTAGATGATGATAAGTGCTCTGGAATAAAGAAAAGATAGAACTGAGTTTAGAGGATTTGAATATACCTGGGAACTGGGCAGGAAGAGAGGGCAAGATACAATATTAAATAAGATGATTAGAGTTAGCCTCACTGAGATGATATTTGGACACACACCTGAAAAACTAGGAGAGTTATGAAGTGGATATCTGAGGGAAAGGCATTCCAAGCAGAGGGAATAGCCAGTTCAAAGGCCTTAATGGAGGGTTATATGGTATGTTAGAGTTACAGCAAGGAAATCCATTTGCCTAGAGGAGAATAAACAAGGGAATAGTAGAAAAAGAGCCTGCCAGCAATGTGAAAAGTTATAGGCTAATATCTATCTGTTTCCCCTCTAGAATCTTCCAAGATGCCTTACTGTCTGTTACTTCTGTGTCTTACACTGTGGCGAGCAAATCCTCCATGTTCTGTGTTGTGTTGTGTGTATCTTTTGTTTTCTCCTTTGTCTTCACTACAATATGCACAACTATCCTCTTTAAAAATAACATGCTTGAATAAACTTCCAAACTTTTCTCTGGTACATATGAGGACATAGAGTCACCATTCTAATAGCATATCTTCTGGATAAATCAGAAAAAATTACTCAGAAGGAAATGAAATCCACCTGATTCATTTTTAGTAGTGATCTAAGGACAGAATATGTGCTGGGCCTTAGGCTGGGCCTGCTGTTTTTGTTGCTCCATGTTTTTTTTTATTTTTTAAGCTCCATGGGTCTGGAGAAAGGCCTGCCACAAAGACCTGTGGCTTTCAATGAATTACAAGATGAGATAGATATTTGCTTTTTAAAGCCAATGGCTTTAGAGCCGTGCTTTTTAGTTTGATCCAACCACAACAAAAGAGATAGAAAAGATATGATCTGGAAACCCAAATGCTTATTTATTAATTTTTTTGGTTGGACTTGAAAGAAATTTTTCAAGTGATTATTTGTGAGAATAAAGAAATTGGTTAACATTGGCAGGTTAATATCCTATTTAATAGATCATCATTTCTCTATAGCAACCAGAGAAGACCTACTAGCAACAGTGCTCCCAGGGGCCAGACCTCTTAGTATGAAACCCATCCCCCCTTATATTTAGCAAAGCACAATAACACACGGGAGGAAAGCAAACTGACCTTCCCCTCAAGCTCTAAGTCTGACTGTGATTGCCACCAGCTTGTGCCTAAGAGTTGACCTCTGCTTGTTTTTAACTCTGACTTCCTCAACCCCTCAACTCCTTCTTTCATGGCGTACTGCAGTTCCTTCCCAAGTCCCTGACATTTACAGTGAGGGTCACTGTATTTATTCAGTGCCAATAACTGAGGAATAAATTCCTACATGTTGGGTTCGATCTTCACTATTGTTTTGCAAATTAACCTACTGAAACAAAATAGTGATAATGTGTTATTATAGTTAAGGTTAATAAGCTGCTGATTACCTCTAAAGGATACAATTGCAGACACATTATTTAAAAGGTCTATTTTGTTAAGCTAACTGGTAAATGAGCAGAAATTTACATGTGTGGTGTATTAACTAACATAAGTGTGGAATTTTGAGCCAGGTAGAGCTATTTCTGTCTCACTCTCCTCTCTGCTTTCCCCCAAGGTCAACTTCATCCTAAGGCCTGGTCCCTGTGTTACTATAGACTGTCATGTATAATCCATGAGATATTCAGCAAACTACTTTACTTCTTTGAACCTTGGACAACATAGTTACACAGTTTAATAGTGCCCAACTCTCCTCGGTGCATAGGAGAGATGGCTATTTAAAAGACTTGTTCTCAATCGGGGATCATATGTGATAATTTTCTCACTTGCTCACATGCCATTTTTAAAAGATAACTCATTTATAGAATTTAACTCCTTTTCACTAAAAATAAGGCTTATTAGTGTTAACCAAAATGATATGTTGCGTTAGGAAGACTACTAAATGTAGTAAAGGCATTACTTGTCAGGTGTCTTGAATTTCCTTGGAATTTTCATTTTGTTATATTGTACAGTCATTCACTAATCTACTCAGGAATGAAACACTATAATGGATAGATGCTTGGTCACTACCTGTTGAAGAATGCATTCTTCAATTCCCCTCAAAATAATGACTTTGGATCATTTATAAATCCCAATTCACAGCTACTGAAAAACTGGCTGGATATTTTCACATTCAAAATTGCCAGTGATTCTCACTAACTGGATATTTTGACTGTGTCATGCCATTGCTGATGCAATAATTAATAAGCAAAGAATTTTAAGTCTATGACTATAAAGTATTGAAAGTGAGCAAATCTGGCATTGATCAGCACAAGACTTTGGCAGACAAGGATTCAAGAAGAGACATCCGGTGGCTGAGAGGTAGATGTAACTGTTAATCTGGGCTCCTCCTGTGGGAAGATTCAGTAACCTAAGGAGATGCTGAAAGAAATTTTCACAACACAGGACTTAAGCCTCTCCCTTTCTTTGATCCTGAGAGAAGACGCTTCTCTGGTATAATGGTGCTACTGAATGGCTAACCCAAATCCATCCTACCCCTTCCTTTTTTTCTAACAGCACCCAGATTTTCCTTTGGGTTTTCATCTTCCCCAGGTAGCCTCTACGTTTCTGGAGCTGGGCTTCCTGTCTTAAACCAATTAAGTTTGGTTTAATTGGGATAGTTAGTAGCATGTAACCCAGTCCAGTTAGAGTGATTTGAGGGAATCTTTTCATTATAATCAGGAAGAAAACCTACCTTAATATAAGCAACTGAAGTAAAGAATATAAAGCTCCAGTCGCTCCTGGAAGAGAGCCTAAACCAACACAGGGAACCAGCCTTAGGAAGAAACAAACATGGGGGAGGGCAGCAAAGCGATTGGAAAAGAAATCGAGTTCTTTATGCTTTCTTGGGCCTCTGGACCAGCCCACCTTGAAGCACACTGGGGTTCTGGAATTCCAGCTGGGAAATCCCTTTAAGTCATCGATATATCTCGACACATTTATTTTGGGGCAGAAGGATCCTGCTGTGTCTAAGTGCTTGTGCCTGTGTCTGGATGTTCCGGGAGGGGGCGCCGACAGGACTGCTGTGCTGTGTAGGTGCTGAAACAGGCTCTTCCACGTCTGTCCTACCAAGGTTTCAGGGCAATCAATTTGGGAAAAATTGTAGTGATTCATCAGCAGCATAAATGCTTCCTGGTCTGGGAATCGTGCTTCTCCTGGAAGTTTCCACATGAAAAGGGAAATGGAACCCTTAGAATATTTCACAGAATTTTCCAAATCACTAAAGGGATATTATTCACTCAATCATCATATAATTCTGATGACCATATATGACATCATTATGGCCGTTTTGAAATTCTTCTTCTAAAAAAAATAAGTGGCTTTCAGCCTGCACTTTCAAGCTGACCTGTGGCTCCTGACATGCCATCATTCACGTGGTGTTACAGTTTTATAACAACAGTGGCAATATCTGGCTTGAGGCTTGACCAGGCTCCAATAGACTCTGTTTGTAGAAAGATATCAGGCTAATAAAATTTAGACAGTAATTTCGACATAATAATCACCAATTGTATAGAGCCTTGGGTGACTTCTCAAACACTTTCCTCAGACATTTGTTATTATAGCACTATGTACCACTCTAGACGATGTCTAGAATACTCACTTTCAGTTTCCCAAATCTTAGCATAGTGTGTGGTATTTAGTAGGCTCACTATCTGTATATATTGGATGAGAAGGGAGAGGGAAAGCTTATACTAGAGTAGGGACAGACAAATGGTTAGTAATGCCCAAAGGAAAAGTGGTATCACCATACCTCAAAACCTGAGTCGCTTTGTTTAATGCTTATTACAACAGCTAAGAATATGAGGGAATAAATCTTCATTCACAATATACATACAATCTGGAGGCAGTAAATACATACTGTTAACCTATTTAAAAAATTTTAAAGACATAATTTCACGTGGATTCTGTTTTTCTATTTCATGTGTAAATCACTTCAAATATTAGCTCCAGATGGTGCAGTCTCAAAGGTCATATTTACACACAGTTCAATATTCTATTCCACATCAAATGGGGAAGCAACATTTTATACAAAAAACAGTCCTGAAACTGAGCAAAACCATGGCAGACCTCAGACCCAGAGACCACGAGGTCCTTCCTTGGTTCTTTCAAGATGCAAAAGTGACGCGGTCTGGCCGCGCCGAGTCGAGCAGGTCCTGAAGTGTGGAAGGGGGCCGAAGAAAACAAAGAAAGACAGTAAGAACTGGGAGGGCTGATGCTCCTGCACATCGCCAGCAAAGCTTTATTAGAGTCCAGAGTATTTATACAGCAAAGAAGTACACTATCCCAGGAAATAACATTATCCAATAGACAATCAAGCACAGTATTGACATCAGCGGTAGCCGGGCAAAGGTAGGCACAGCAGGGCTCCTTCAGTTGCTCATGGAATGGGTGAACAGGATGTTCTTTGTTCTCCATTCCTGCCACATCAGCAAGTGGGTGAAAGGGCATAGCCTGCCGCCCACATCTCCCCCTTTTTTATTTTATAAGAGAGTGACAGTGCCTGTCTTAGGTGTTCCTGGACGACTCATCTGGACTTACCTGTCACTGGTACCCACATTCCATCATGAGGACCCTGTCTTAGGTTGCCAGAGGTCTCCAAGACACTTACCCGTCATTGACTATCCTGTCCCCTTCTCCACATCCATATAAGGAGGGTGGTGTTTAAGAGCTAGCATATGGGTCTCGGAACCCAGTTGCAAAAAGGACTGTAATCCTAGTTTGATGACACAAATTTCATTATAAGCTGCATGACATTTCAATTGGTGCCTTAACGTTAGGCCCTGAACCTCTTCGCCCAAATACACGACCATGTCATACAGGGCATTAAGCTTATGACTTGTTTTCTCATCAGTATTTCCTTGATCATTAAGAGCCTCAGTTGCATTTTGGGTCAAACCATTGACATAGATTGCAGTTTGTACATTCTCAGTTAATGCTACAGCTGCTACAGTAGAAGATACAATAAAGGAAATTAAAGATAACAACCCTACAATAATGAGGCCCACAGCTCTCTTGGGATGGTCTAGAGCTTTCTTCAATTCTATCAACACTTACAGGCCCTTATCATCATACCAAGGTCCCGTGTGATTCACGGGAATCAAAAGGAAAGGGGGTTGCTTAAGTAAAAGAACCATGGTATTGTTGGACACAGAAGAGATGCAGCTGGTGAGACTGCAATTTTTACAGGCAATGTGAAACATATTTTTCTGATAAGTCACATTAATAGAAATAGACCCTACCAACAGCGCATGGGGGGGTCAACGCAAGCCACCACATGTGTGTCATTGTTTACATTAATGCTTGTACTATTATCCCACTCTAACCCACCCATAGCCACCCCTATTTTCCACCAAGAGGTTTGAGGGTACCCATCTGGAGTGTACCAAAGTCCCATAGAGATTCCTCTGTATTGCGGGGCCAGTGTCTTTGAATTTGGTCCTAAAGACCAGTCCACAATGTAAAGTTCTTTAGTGATGTTCATCTGCGGTGGCCATTCACCACCTGTGCCTGCAAGTGAAGGGGAGCCCTTGCACTTTGTCCAGGGTAGTGGCAATGTGTCATTTTTAAGTGAAGATGAAGATGTAAGCACACTGCACACAGGGTGGTCAGAAGGCAAGGTGCGTTGTTCCTATTGTTAGGTGTTCTGATGGGCCTCCCAAAATGTCAGAATCATTGGAGTAAATCTGTACCTTGGGAGACTTCCAACTGACTGGATGGAGCAGAGGAGGGTCAGGAACATATGCCCAATATATGCGCTGAACTGCTTGCTCCGCTACTTGCTCTTCAGCTGGGGTCCTCCAAAGCTGGAGCAGGATCAGGAGGAATATGGTCTGCATGACACACCAGCCTTTCTGGCAACCACCTCGGGCCCTCAGCATCCTGTGGAAAGACACAAACGTGTCCTCTCCCCCTAAGAAGGACGGGATCTGGACCTTGCCACGCCCCGGTCAGAGGATCTTTCCATCACACCTGTGCGAGGGGTGGACGACCGCCAGAGCACCAAAAGCGCTCTGTGGAACTGCGTCCCGCAAGGTCTAGAGTTAAAAAATTTAAAATATAGAGTGCGTGGGATAAATAATTCAAAGGTGTAATGGGATATAACTCCCCCTTCTTAATTTTATTGAGCTGAGCTTTCAAAGTGCCATGGGCTCTTTCAACAATGCCTTGGCCCTGGGGATTATAGGGGATGCCTGTCTTGTGGGCAGTACCCCATTGAGCACAAAATGTGCGAAAGCAGCTACTGGTATAGCCAGATCCATTGTCTGTTTTAATTAGCTTGGGAATGCCCATAACAGCAAAGCAAGAGAGGCAATGGCAAATAACTTGTGAAGTGGATTCTCCAGAGAGAGCGGTAGCATGCAAGAAACCTGAATAGGTGTCAATGGTAACATGAACATATTTTAATTTTCCAAATTCAGGGATGTGCATGACATCCATCTGCCACAGGTGATTTGGCAGGCACTGTTAGCGTTCTCATAGGCCAACTGTGTGACTAGGGCGGTACTAGCCTCTGATTCTCCAAATGTTCTCCCTGCTGTCTTCAATAGGTGAGCTACAAATTCTTGAAATGGCTCATCAGACCCTTGCCTGATTTTAGAGACCTCCTCTGTTCTACTAGTACTTTCTGGGAGAGCCTTCCATGCTCTTCTAGCTGCCACATTTGTTTGAGCATATACTGCTAACTGAAAGACCAACTGTTGATCTACCTCAGCATATTGGCCCTCTCCCGCCAACATGTCAAAAACAATGGGTATTTGCTGAGCAGTGTTAGTCCTAGCTGTTTTCTGACAATTCTCACAAAATTCTGATTTCCATAGCAGATAATCTCCCCCTGTAAGACATGCATGTGCTAAGGACTTCCAGTCTCCCACGGGCAAAGCCTCTGTAGTCAGAGCTTCTAAGATGGTTAATGTAAATGGAGCAGTGGGGTCATATTTATTGCAGGCCTCTTCCAGCTCTTTCAACTGTTTGAAAGGAAATGACACATGTTGTCTGAATACCCCTCCATTGTCACCTGGCCATTCTAACACTGGATAGGCAAAAAATTCTTGTGTGTCCTCTCCCTGATCTTGAGCTTGTTGTAGTACTGCCTCAAGAGGAGTAACCTTTCTCTGTCTCTTCTGCATATTAACTGGGAGCACACGAGGCTTTTCTTCCTTAGACTCTATGGGCTATTTTTCTTTCTGTTCTAAACCCTTCTCTGTCTTTCGCTCCACTGTTTTCTCTTTAGTTTGTTCTGAGGATATAGGCTGAACAGGATCAAAACCTGCCCTTTCAAGGGGAGCTAGTTAAGCCTTACTCACAGGGTAGTCTCTTCTCTTGGGGTGCGGCTGTCCCATCTTTTGCTGCGCTTCTAAGGCTAAAGTAAGCCACTTCAGAGTGCCCTGAATTTCATTCCATTGCTCTTCGAAAGGTATTCTGGATGGGTCTGCGGTGACTGCCCGCTTTGCTGTGAGCAGGGATGGATAAACTTTCTTGCTGGAGCCTATGGAGGCTATCTCTATTGTTTCTATCTCCTTATCACAAAGTTGAACTAAAGCTTCCTCCACTAGAGGGCTCTGTTCCTCCTCCATCTCCTTGTCCAAGCTGCTGTCCGGTTCATGATAAGATGGCTCCCGCCCTTCCGGTGCTTCTAATGGTGGAGCACATGGGGAGATGGCTGGAGAAGCAAGATTGCTTTCGTTTTTCTTAGTGGCTTGACCCATACCAAGGGCATGCTCTATCACATTTTCTATCTTAAATCCTTCATGCTAAGATCTAAAGAATCTCTAATCAAGGTCCACAGTCCAAAAGTATCTACTGGAACCTTCTTTGGTCCATGGGCAGAATAATAAGTTCATAATCCCTCTCCTACCTTATTCCATAAATCTATGTCTACTGTCCCTTCTCCTGGAAACCACGGGCAGACTTCCTTAATAAAGTCTAAAAATCTTTCTAATTGGGGCTTCCCTACTATAATTCCCCTAATAGCCAATAATTTCTTCAACCCGCAGACATAAAGCTGTTTGCTTCCTGCCTGTCCCATATTGGACTCCCAGAAAAATCACTTACCACGTCCAGGTTGCTTGCGTGCCTCTTCTCTCGCAGGTCTTCTCTAGTTACCCTGGCCAGGGCTTTCTCTTCTTGACGTGGTGGCCCTCACCTTCTCCCTCTCCTTCAGGTCCCTGTTCGGGCGCCACTTGACGCGGACCAGCCATGCCAAGTCAAGCAGGTCCTGAAGTGCAGAAGGGGGGTGAAGAAAACAAAGAAAGACAGAAAGAACTGGGAGGGCTGACACCCCTGTTCATCGCCAGCAAAGCTTTATTAGAGTCCAGAGTATTTATACAGCAAAGAAGCACACTATCCCAGGAAATAGCATTATCCAATAGACAATCGAGCACAGTATTGACGTCAGCGGTAGCTGGGCAAAGGTAGGCACAGCAGAGCTCCTTCAGTTGCTCATAGAATGGGTAAACAGGATGTTCTTTGTTCTCCATTCCCACCACATCAGCAAGTGGGGGAAAGGGCAAAGCCCGCTCCCCACACAAAAGTACCCGAATTCTGTCAGCATTCCATCTATGAAGGTGTTCAAGTATTCGACCTCTCTTCCTCACCTCCTCTTTTCCTCTCTCCCCTACAAAGGTCAAAATGAGATAATGGGTTAATGGGGAAAGATTGTCTCATGCTAATCCTTTATTTGCTCCCTCCACCCTTACTATACACACATACAGTGAGAGAGAAAGAGGGAAGAGAGAGGAGAGGAAATGCAAAATGAGTTTTAACATGTTATCAGCCATAATTGAAAACTCTTTCACTTCTCCTTGAATTGAAACTTCTCATTTCTTCTTTGCTATGTTTAAATTTTTCTACTCATGATGATGATGATCTGTGAGTGTGAACAGTGCTCCCCACCCAGTTACCGCTCAGTGTACCTAACAACACTGTACATAGGAAGTTTTCCCTGTGATTTGGGGCAGTAGCTACTGTTTTGCAGAACCTTCCTTGGTGCAGTTCTGTTTCTTAGACATTTAGGACATCCACAAATTTTGCTCAAAAAAAGTTGTTGCCAGTTCCTAACTATCTCACGCCAGATTCTCTTGCTACTAATGTGCCTTTCAGTATAGATTGTGGCTACGCTGCATTATTGGAAACTGAATTTCAGAACATCCCCATCAGTCCACATTTCATCTTACCGAATAACTGCCATTACCTCTATTAGGTGAGGATTCTCACCTCAGGATTTTACTTTCTATATGACATGTTGCTTTTATACTTGAATCAAATGTAAAATAACCATTTACATTTATTGATATATTTAATAGATTTTCTTTTTCTCTGTTTTATTTTTTGTTTCTATTTTGATGCTTCTTTGTTGCTTTTTCTTCTATATCTGTGTTTAAATTTAAATTGGAAGAAAAAGAAAATCATTTTCTGCAAATAATGGAGGAGCTTTATTAATGAAATGTTATATAAGACAATCTGATGTGCCAAAGCATGAGAACTATAATAAGGGCTGTGAAGATGGTCATTCTCCACTCAAGGCAATTCTTGGGTTTCAGAAGTTGTGACTCTTAGCATCCTAACACCTACATAATTAAATACAAAGGAACTTTCACCCTTACCTGTCATGTCTCAGTCATAATCTCATTATGTGCCATTTTTCCTAGTTCTGCTTCTTCTAAATCCAATCTCAGGAACTCTGGGGCTAATACTTTCCTTATTCATGAAATAGCATTCTCATTGACAAAGGTAATTACTATCCTCCTTTTTTGCTCCAGACCTTATTATGGGTAACTGGCTTGCCTGTGGGTGAACTTCTTTTCGGCCAAGTCCTCACCCCTTAGCTAAAGCACAAATGAAGGTCAAGGTCACATGGCTCCTTTAGGTTGATCTGTCAGAAAGGATTGTGAAAAAGGCTGATGTCTCCCATTTCTTTTGAAATGAAATTTGGTGTGAGTGTTATATCTAGTACAATGCTTTTGAAGTCTAGCATTTAAACCATATATCCACATATATGATTACCATACGAATAATTCAGTTAACAAGTGAGAACCCACATTAGTATATACTCTGATTTGTGAAAGTTATAGATTCAGTGGCTGTAAGTCACAATACCAGTGACTTTTAAAGGATGGAAGTTTATATCCTTCCTATATAAAATCTAATTTGCAACTCTATTTCTTCCTCCTTTTACTTCATTTTCTGTCTTCTTTTATTGTAACATATGCTCTTAATCATAGCCAATGTTAAGGGAAAATCCTTTGCTGGGAATATGATATTTACCTAAGTCCAAGGATGAAGTCATTGGCAGGGATATCATAAAAAAAAGAAGAAAAAGTCAAATCCATAGTAATTGCCTAATACTGGTAAGGCCAGTATGATTGCCGTACTTCTATTAAGTCATAGTAACATACCAAGGGGTAATTACTAGTAAATAACTTGTGAAAAATATTTGTGTTTAAAAAGTATATATTTATATAGAAATTTTCATCTCTACATCTTGTTTCTAATTCTAGTAGTGTTTCCTATTACATTTACTATTAAACGTAATTCCTCTACTTATAAAAAAGTCAGACTCTATATTATATTTATTTAATTATCAGTATCATGAGTGATTCCTTGTTTATTGACTCCCCCAGACAAAAGAAGGAAACTGGTACTCTTTTCTTCCCTCCACCTCTCTTGCCACTTTCCATGTTTTTGTTGATTGATATTATGCTCTTCTGGAATAATAATATTATATATATTGTTTATACTGTATCTTCTCTTCTAAGATGTATTCAAAAGAGAAAAAAAATTCTGGAAATAAAGCAGACTGTTCTTGACATATCTTCTATGTTCCCATATCTGATGGTCAACCACTACTGAACTAGGTGTAAATGGTCAACCTTAGATGTGTAATCGTCCTAGGAACCACTGTTACGGGTATAGGCATTGTGGGGCTTTCGCCTTTAAGAGGAAAGTCTAGAGTTACAGTAGCCTATGAGAAGCTCTAGTACTAAATACAGTACTAGAAGAGCTAGGTGTTCAAAGTTTTGAGGACCACCAAATCCGAACAATTCTCTGTCTCTCACACACAAACACACACACACCATAGACTTTGGATGTATATTAGCCCTGCATGACAGTGTAAAGGTTTCCAGGAACTCAAGAGAGTGAGCAGGAGCTGAATTTGTGTGCTGAAGCTACTTATTCTTCAGTAGGATTGCAGAAGGGACATAGGACCAGGCAGATTTTCTCCAGTGAGGATAGGCACTGCTCAAGGAGGAGAGGCAGCTGCTAAAGGGACTGGGAACCCATCTCTTTCCATTACTGGAGGGATACCCCAATTGAAAAGAACCCCAATTAGCAGAAGTCAGCCTCAGAAGCCAACAGCAATGGTGACATCAAAAACAACAAATAACAGCATAACCAAGGAGCTTAGTAGCCTGAAGGGAAGGTCGGCCATCAGGGAGTCAACTGGAGGAGCCAGGAAAATATAAACCCATCATTCTGGACCCAAATATTATAGTTGTTGAATTAAAAAGGTGAGTAAACAAATTAAAGAAAAAAGCCAATGAAAAGAATGGAGTGAATTTGTAGTGTGGAGATCTCAAAGTCTATAAAGCATTTAGACATTGATCTACATGATAATCATTAATTGAAAATCATGTTGCTAAAAGAGAAATCCAAAAAACCTGATTCCTCTGTTTTCTTAACAATAAAATGAGAATAATAATAGTATCTCACAGGATTATTATAAAGTATTAAAAGTTAATATTTGCAGAATGCTTAAAATGGTTCTTAGCATAGAATAAATGCTGTGTAAGTACTTGCTAAATAAATAAATACAACAAAAATAATGACTAAATCCAAGCGCAGGTTATTTGAAAGGACCACAACAACAAACTTCTTGAGGATGGCTTTATAAAAGGTGGGAAGAAAAGCTTTTGTTTGGAAACCTCTAATACAGAGAAAATTAAAGGAATTATACTTGAACGTTGCAAGTAAACCTATGGCAATTTGAAAACCATGAGAATTGTATGATTTTCCATATAAATCTAAATTATCAATATTGACCTAAAAAGACCTTAAAAATCTGAATGGGCTTATTACAACAGTACAAATTGGTGAAGGGCACCAGGATCAGATGAATTTACATTCAATTTTTATTTAATCTTAAACAATAGATAATTTCAAAAATTACTGCAAATATTTTAGATTAAAAAGAAAGTCTTCAAATTTACTTTATGAAGGCAATATAACTTCAAAATCAGGACTTAATTAAAGTAGAATAAAACAGAAAATACAGGCAATCTCACTTTTGCTTTATTACATTTTTATTAAACCCCCAAAATCAAAATATTATCACTTCAAAATGTAATCCCATCTGATTTGATGAATAAGATATAATGTATCTTTAAAAAGACATAAAAATATATTATTTGTTAGTCTTTATTAGCCTTGAAATACAGTATGTCCCACAGTTACATTTGAAAGTTGAATTTGATCAGGTATATTTGATCTGTACCAAGAATTCATAAGATTTATGTTTGTAAGAGAAGATTAACATAGCCAAGTCATCAAAACATACCTTAAAATATTTCAATACCTGCCTGAAGTATCAGGTTTCAGAGTTGGAGTTATATTAGCTTGAAATGAAAAAAAACTTTAAGAAACCCATCTAGTTTAATGTTGAGTAGGATCCCAGTTTACAGATGGGTCATCATTTGCATATCCATTCACCCTTTGAAGGACATCAGGGTACAATTCAGCTTTTGATGACTCTAACTGTGAATAGAGGTACTATAAACATTGGCATTTGTTGTTTCTGTGAATGTGTCTTCATTTCTCTAGAAAACATACAAAAGAAAATTAATAGAATTCAGCCAAAATATCAGGTCCACTGGGTTTTCTTCCATGATTGGCAGGGATGGTTCAAAATCAAGGCACTAGAATTACAAAAAGTAACTTGCCTAAGGTTCGCAGCTAGTGAGGGACGAAGAAATTGTGCCTTACTAATTGACTCATGGTAATAATGAAAATAATAGTAATAATGAAATGGTATCCTTAGCTAACTTTTATTGAAACTGTTCTAACTGCTTAATGTTTTATTTTTTAGAAGTTAAAATATCCATCTTATCTCTTTAGATGTTGCAATGTGAGAAGAGATAGGAGCTGCCATTTTAGGGTTAGAGCCATTTTTGAGATCAAATGTAAAAGAAAAATGTTTGCTTTTGACATGGGTGAATAAGTTTGAAGAACAAGAACAAAGAGAGGCAGGCTTTTTAGATTTTGGCTTGACTAAAATTGGGTACGATACTCATGATCTACT